ATCCTTACTTCTAGAGGTTTCAAACTAAAACTCTAGCACTCTTTATTGAAGGAAAAGGATGCATTTATCTTTGCTATAGAAAACGTGTCGCACATATCTTATAGGATCCTGCAACACAAACGGGTAACATTTTATACTTCATACAGGCAGTAAGCTATTTTGCAGACGTTTCAGGATCTCAAAAACCACATAATTACAAACTTTTTAAAACCAGGAGATATCATTTATTTGAAAACATAATTTATTGCCAACTAAGACTGTTTTGTTTATGCCTTTGATAAATGATATTTAGACATATGAGGAAAATAAAACTCAATGGAGGCAGTCGTATAGTAGATATTTTATAGTCATTGGACAGGTGAGCGGAAAAACGTGCATTGAAAAACTGGCATTTCGATATGATTGCAGGTTGCATAATAACTAATAATGTAACCCAAACTGGGTAATCATTTTTTGTCCAAAATGGCATTTCAGAATTTTGACTAAGAATTTTTGAGAAACGTCATCTACGGTACGGATGTAATAATTTGTTTTTAGAAAGACGAAATATGCAAAGTGGTTCCTAGAATGTACATACATAGCATAACTTTTGTAAACAGAAAATTTTGCTGGTGACATATGAAAACTTCAGGTTTTATTAACCCAATGCTGTAAACTTGCTTCAAAAAATCGTTTCAAAAAAGCTGTCTATGACCGTTTTCACTTCAAAAACACCAGTTAAAGACTCAACTGTGTACCTTTCCAATTTTTATGTAAATTAGATTATGGTAAACCAACTAGTCCTACTGTCGAGAGTAAAAAAACATCCGGGTACTTATCCACATATGTCCATAACCAAACAGTTTCACTTCAAATGATCACAAAGATGTTTTGCGTCCAGTCAGCTTGATGGCCTCGTCAAATTTGCGGTCTGCTGTCTTCCGGGACTTAATTGACGAATTATACCATGGTCACAGAAAATTTGGAAGGATATTTGAATGGAGCTTCCCGATAAGCCGGGAAGCATAAGCACTGGATTATACCTATGGAGATCACAATTTATAGTGATTTAGATTTAATGAGCAGGTAGCGACTAAAAAGAAGGATGCCAACACACTTCTGATTATGACTGCATATAGTACAGGTCAGATGGAGATACCAGAACGTCCATTGAGTGTTAAAACCCCTCAGATGGAACGCATTCTTTCGTCGGTTTTCAATACCGTCCGTCCGTCAGTCAGTATATGTGAAGTAAATAACAGAAGCCCATAAAAACTCAATTTAAACGGCACAGGAATGCACAGACTGTAAGTGTTACAGGTCACTTTGTTATGCAAAGGTATGCATAAGGGTAATTAAAAAAAACATGAGTGAGGCGTTTGTTCAATAATAACGTAGAACACGTTTACTGCATTTCCACC